TTTTATTTTCCTTTAAAATAATCATAGGCTATCAAGGAAAATTGAATGACAGCACTTTCAATATGCAGATATTGACTAAGGAATGAGTTATAGGTTTGTTTCTATTAAGTTTCATTTTTCCAAAAAAAATTATGCATTTGAGCAAAATCACATTCGGTCCAAATGCTTTCATTTTGTACATGGTTTTCTGATTAGCAATTTTTTAAAAAACAGAAGCATAATTTTTTAATATCAAAATGAGGGTGATTTCTAGATATTGCTTTAAAAGTTAATATTACAAAAGTAAACATGTTTCCTTGGATAAGTCAAATTAAACTGTTGATATGAATGAACAAATCAATTCATGTTACACTGAATAAAGAGACTTCCTATGACCCACCCCACCCTCTTTTACTGTGTGCCTTTCTCTCTTGAAGCTTTATTGTATTTTCCTGCTCCCTTTTTTTTTTCCATTTGGCAAATAACATTTAGATGACAGTCTCTCAGGAATTGAACATGGATACCATTACATTACTTTTGGTGCATGAAATAGATGGAGGAAGAATGAGAGAGGAATATAATGTCTTAAGTCTCCAAATATTAAAAACAAAACAAAAAGCCCACCAGCTTCTCTCTTTTGTCATTCCTTTGATGTTCTGTCTTCTGTAGGCTAGAGTTGCATTTTTAATATCTAATTGAAATCTAACCAAAATTCTGGAAGGAATGTCAAAATTTAGTACCTGTGGACAGACCTCTTGACTGACCCTTATGTTTAATGCCTGATTTCTACCTTAATTGAGTATTCTATAAGAGAAAAGCACCTCCTTGTTGACATTCACCATGGGTTTACCTTCCAAGGGTATTTTCCTTTGATCTCTAGTATTTCTGATCACCTCCTTCTATCCCTAGGACCTAGGGTAATGCATTGCCTGTTCTGGATACATTGTCTATGTAACCTTAAAAGAAAAGATGTTTTCAGTGAAAAGCAAATATATTTTTATGTGTTCCTAAATGTCTAAAAGAAAATAAGTAAAAGATACTTCTACTACATCCACCTACATACCAGTGTTTTCCAAATCATGTTCAGTTCTATTGGTTCTGGCAAATGTTCATGTGGTCTGAGAATAAATGATACTATACCATAGTCCCCATTGATAATAAATGTTATTGTTTTAATGAAGTTATTGGCTCAGGGTAACACTTTTTTCCCCTAAAAACACCTTGAAGAAATTTAGAAAAGTTTTAACACCAGTTTACATATTTTTCACCAACTATAAATAATATAACCAACAGGGCTTTGAATGGTTGCTCTAGTTTTTTATTTCAACTTTAAGGGAGATTCCTGCCATTTCAAGTGAATTTAAATTTTATTATTACATCATAGTGAATTTAACTTTACCACCTAAAATATTCAAAACAAAATAATGAAATTGTTTTAATATTTTAAGTATTATGACCACATCAGACTACTATTTCATGGTGCAAATTCTTTGCAGAGTGAAATTAACACTTGTGAGCAATCTTTGGTAATATTTTATTAAACAGCTCTAAGAAATTGAATCATGATAGATTAACACTGACAGCATTTTATATAATCTTGTTAGAAATTATATGAAAAACATTTTTGCTAAAGCTAAGAGGAATGCAATAGTATAGATTTTGCAGGACTCTATCCTCTATTAAAGAACATTTCACAATTTTTGCTTTCCTTTATTTTTCAAATCTGTTCTGCATAAAACAAAATTCTTTTAAAGAAATTCCTGAGTGAACTGTTTTCAGACAAAAGAATAAAGCTGAATTCTTACATTTCTTTAAATGTAATTCAGTTTTTCATTCAGAGTCTATGAATCAGCTTGATAGATCACAAGCTACTTACCATTTACAATTATTTCATGAATGTTATATCATGCAAATGTTAATTCCATCTAATTCAGTTGTATATTTAACATTTTCACTTCTTTTTTCATTTGGCAAAACTAATGTTCAGTATTATTCATACATCATTACTTTAAACTATTTTATTTTTTTCCTGTTATCAGTACTGATTTTTTATTTATTTATTTTATTAAGTTATTATCTGTGTACATATTTTAACCTTACCCCCCCCCCCCAATACTTCAAACTATTTTAGATAATGAACCAAATGACTCATTTGGGACCCATGTTCCAAAGTCCAAAGTCCGATTTTTTCCTTTTCCTATGAAATGCCAGAAGGACCATTCTTATAGCTGTGTTAATTTTGCAGGCCAGTATTTATCTTGCTTTATTTAATGGATACACATGAAAGAGATGGGCGCCTATCTGATCCCTCTCTCACGCACATGCACTCTAAGGGAGTTGGAAAATTACTGTTGAATACTTTTTCTTGAAAAACCAAGTGTTGGTATGAGGATATATTAATCCTATCTATGAGCAAGTCTCCATTGGAGGGCAAGCAGTAATTGCAAGAGCTGGCTTTATAAACTATTTGAATATTATTGGGTTATATAATTTTTTAAAATTTTTCATAGGAAAGGATCTGTATGAATAAAATGATCAAATTTTAATTTTCATGCCTACACACTGGTAATATAAGGCATGATTTTTTTTTAACAATAAGAGAAACTAGGGAAAGAATCTCAGAAATTTTTATGTCTTTGTAAAGGTAACAAAATTCAATCAAATGTCTTTCTTAAGGAAGAGGCTGTTAGCGTACACTATACTTTGAGTTGGTGGCAGCCTGTATTTAGAGTTCTCTGTGACCTTTTGATGCAAACATAAAATGGGTTTATTACCTTGTTGCCGGTTACGTATTTTCACAAAATGCCTTGGGCATAAAATGTTTACACAAGGAATTAGGGGTTAAAATATTCACAGATACTTTTTTAAATTTAGTTGAAATGTTGATGCCTGGCTCTTTCCTCCTGAATAATTCAGCAAGGAACACTTGATTCCCAGACCCCTTACCGCTCTGTCTGTGAGAAAGCCCCATGCTCTGTGCTGGCCCCAGACAAAACCAGCAAAAGAAGCGACTGCTTGTCCCTCCAGGACCCGCCGCAGAGCACTCTGCTGAGCAACGGCGACATGGAGGGGCAGTGCTGACTTACGATCATCTTGAGAACATTTAACGTTACTTGCCATATAAATTAGAAAAGGTATGGGTATCATTTTTTTGTAAATAATGATCTTTACAAATCTGGTTTTTTTTTCCCTTCATAATTTTCCCAATCACCCATTTCATAAATCCTAAATATCCAATTATTTATCATGGCACATTACTACAAGCCAGGTTCCCAGTTTAGAACAGCAGAACAGAGTTTAATTATAGGTGAGAACAAGATGGAATATCTGAGTGAATGTTTAAATGTGTGTGTGTTTGGGGGGAGGGGGGGATGTTCCTGAAAAATAAATAGAAACCATAAAAATAAATTCAGTTGTGAACCTCTTTTATTACCAGCCTCTTAAAACTTTGTCCACATTTTTGGAAAATTTTATTGCAGATTTAGCTTGGCAAGGTGAGAAAACTGTCTGACCCTGTGCAAGGGCATTGAAGTGGGTCAAGTCCCAGCTCTATAATTTAACAGTAGATTTGAGCATGTTGCTCAATGATTCTTCATTTCCTTAAAAAATAAATATAATATAATATAATATAATATAATATAATATAATATAATATAATATAACATATAATAAAAATGGAGGCCCTGGCCAGGTAGCTCAGCTGGTAAGAGCACTGCTCTCCTTCCTTCCCTTCCCACCCCCACTTCACTTCCCCAACTGCAGCAGATTGGCTCTCCTATCAGGGCACATACAAGGAGCAACCAACTAAGGAACCCTCTCTCTCTCTCTCTCTCTCTCTCTCTCTCTCTCTCTCTCTCTCTCTCTCTCTCTCTCTCTCTCTCTCTTCCTCCCTCCCTCCCTCCCTCCCTCCCTCCCTCTCTGTCTCTCCTCCCCACACACACACACACACCTTCTTTGCTCTCTAAAAAAATTTTAATTAAAAGAAGGAACTTTTTAAAAAATGGAGTTACTATGCTGAAGCTGGTTTGTCTCAGTGGATAGAGCGTTAGCCTGAGGACTGAAGGGTCCCAGGTTTGATTCTGGTCAAGGGCATGTGCCTTGGTTGCAGGCACATCCCCAGTAGGAGGTGTGCAGGAGGCAGCTGATCGATGTTTCTAACTCTCTATCCCTCTCCCTTCCTCTCTATAAAAAATTAATAAAATATATTTTTTAAGAATTTTAAAAAATGGAGTTACTAATGCCACTTTATCATAGGTCACTGAACAGACAGAGTAAATGAGATAATATTCATCAGTCCTCTAAACATTCTTACCTAGTGCATAGTAGATATTCAATAAGCAATCCTTTCCTGTTCTTATGTGACTAGGCACTGAAATGAGCCAGAACACTTGCATGTTCTTTCTCTAACGCTACCATAACCCTTAGGGCCTCTCCTGTTACCAGCGCAGTGCCTTGCTGTGTCAGCTAATACTGGCTGCATTGAACACTCAACAGGTGCCAGGCGAGGCGCTTAGAAGCATGGCCTCATTTGTGCCCCCAGTGATTGCCCGCTGGGTGAGGATCCCTTCAGCCCGCTTTCGTTTGCTTTTGGTTGAGGAGGGGTTCTGGGGTTGGGAAGGGCATGGTTATTACGAAGAAAAGGTCTATGAGTTAGGTCAGGTAGGTCCTCAACCCCAGACCATCTCCAAAGTTGCCTGAACTTAAGGAGCTGGGAAGAGCGGTGTTGAGGATAAGCCCATGATTCCAGGGGGCCCTGGGCACGCTGTTCAGAAGCTGAGAATCTCACCTTTCTACATCTGCAAAGAAAGAGCAACCCTTTTGACAGAGCTGTTGGGAATCCTAAATAAAGCAATAAAGCTAAAACTGTTTGCCAGTACCTGGTAAATGTAAGCTCTCAATTCCTCTCTCACCTCCTTCCCTCCCCCCTCCCCCCCACACACACACCCTACACCCACTCCCATTATCAGCCAGCTGCGCCTGGGAGGCGGGCGGTGCAGAGTCTGGGGTTGCTTGACTTTCTCTTTGGGTCTCGGATTTCCGGTCCTATAGGGAACTCAGCGTCTCCCACTCCTGCTATGGACATCCGCGGGCAGAGGCACTGGATGAGGACTCTTGGAGCTGCCTCTTGAGCTTCCCATGTCCTCCTGGAACGGCGTGAACCCCGGTTCCCCTGCAGGGAGCAGCCCCTGCAGGGAGCAGCTGGGCTTGGGCGGCGCTGGGCAGTGAGGACGGGATCCTGGATGCCTTAGGGCGGCCCGGGGGGCCAGGCAGCTGCTCTGTGGGTCCGGGGCGGGCGGAGGGCTCTGTTTGGAGCAGTCACCCTGGAGACAAGCCGCGGAGCCCAGGGGCAGTGGAGGGAGGCTGCAGGCAGAAGGAGGCCGGAGGAGGGAGCCTCGCCAAGTGGAGGAGCTGCGGTCTGGGAAGCGCTGGGCAGGTAAGTGCGCGCTCTCCGAGGTGCATTGGGCGGGCGGAGACCAGAGGACAGAAAGGGGACCGCAAGTTCCTGCGCTGCAGGGACCCGGGAAGGAGGCTCCCCCGTGGGGAGGAATAGCTTGCCTGCCTGCCTGGGCCACCACCTCTCTGACGCCCGGCTCCTCTTCCCCCAAATAAGAAAAAGTGGCCCCATTGTGACCTGGACGTGGTCACCTGCGCATCTGGGCTTTCTGGTGATGCCCAGTGCAGACCTGGCCAGTCCTGAGCATCTTCCTGAGCCCAGCCTGGCGCCCCCGGCAGCCCAAGGCCCTCCCCCACCCCTCCATCTTCAGGTTCCAACTGGAGCCTTCAGGGCAGCGTGGGAAACAGGTGAGCAGACGCAGGTCTGTGTCCCTTTGGGTGGGAACCTGCATGTGCCACTGCATCCGTCTCAGTGTGCCCTGTCCACACACATGGACACTCCACAGACACATGCGCGCATACAGATGCTCGCACACAGCTCACACATACATTCAGTACGTAGACACATCACACAAAAAGGTTCACACACACTCGCAAAGCCACACACTCAGGTACACCCAGAAAATGACTCATGCACACATATGTACAGACATGCACACGGGTTCACACAGACACATGCTTACATTCGTGGACACAGACACTTCACTGATACAGCCTCACACACTCATGAGGACTCAAGTTCACACAAGGACACATGCCCACAGAGAGAAACACTCTCACAGGTACCTACACATAGATGCTCACACTCATGAATACACCCTCATACACAGGCACACAATCACGCACACACGTACACCAACTCCTCTCTTCCCAATACACAGCACACCTCTACCACATGTCTGCCCTTCAGTGTGTTTTGTCTCTGCCCTGACACTGAGACACTGGTTTGAGGTGATGTTCTTGTCCGGCCCAGCCACCCAGCTGCCAGCGTTAGTGTCTGGCACAGTGTTTGCTTGCTAGGGCTCTCAGATTTACAGAAAATACAGTAATTTTAATGAATATCTAAATTGGTATATAGTCAGTAGGGCAGTAGAGTTATCGTCTAAGTAATGGGAAGTCCATTCCTACCACCAGCTTTTAAGCAAGTGATTGTGAGAGGGGGGGGGGGGGGGGGGGGCGGGGAATACCCTTTGGGGAGGACAATTTGAAATTTTAAAGTAATAACAAATATTAATTAGCAAACTTTTATCAAGAATAAATAGGAGGCAAAGATATGAACAATAAAATGGCAATAAATACGCACCTATCAACAATTGAATCTAAAAATCAAAATAAACAAGCAAGAAATATAATGAACAAAATAAATTGATGAATAAAATAGGCCCAGAGGCATGGGAACATGGAATACACTGACCTATCTCAGAGGGAAGGGGGAAGGGAGGGTAGAAATAGATTAACCAAAGAACTTATATGCATGTATGCATCACCCATGGACACTGACAATAAGGTAGTGAAGGCATGGGGTGGGGTGGGGAACGGGTGGAGGAGTGGCACTGGGAGGGACAGGGCAACATCTGTAACACTCTCAACAATAACAATTTAAAAACAACAACAGCCCTAACCAGTTTGGCTCAGTGGAGAGCATCAGCCTGTGGTCTCCAGGGTCCCAGGTTCAATACTAGTCAAGGCATGTACCTTGGTTGTGGACACATCCCCAGTGGGGGGTATGAAGAAGGCAACTGATTGATGTTTCTCTCTCATTAATGTTTCTAACTCTCCCTTCCTCTCTGTTAAAAAAAAAAATCAATAAATATATATTTTTAAAAACACAACAACAAAATAAATAAATGGGATCAATAAAAAATATTGTTTTATAGTATGGAATACTATCTTTTCTTCTACGCATGGCTATCTTTTCTCAGTGACCTTAGCCTCTGCTATAGTTTAGCAATGTGCTGCAGTTTAATATCTGCTTATGTGGAGTAAGTATACAACTGCATAAATAAAAGTTATCAGTTGAACTGACCAGAATAACACGATACATTAAAAATCACTCTTAAAGAAACTCCACTTCTCTGTTCAAAAATGGTAGAAAAAGTATCTGTGTACTGTATTGAGAAGAAATATCTGAGTTATACTAAAAATGGTGTCAGATCTTTCGCCTGCTGTTTTGACAGGAGTTTTCTTCCATAGGTTCTGATGATGGCAGACACCGCTAAAGACGGAAGGGCTCATTCACTGAAGAAAGAGGGGAATGTGTCTTCTCTAAGCAGCCACGAGTTCCAGCGGAAGGAACATCATGGGCGCCTCAAAGAGTGAGTAACTGAAGGTCTCATATCTTACGTTCAATGACTGAATAAACAGGTTCATAATGTTTATCAGGAGAAAATAAAACATTTCCTTTGGGAAGTAAAAAGAGAAAATGGACAAGTACAAGGTTCAGGTCATCCTTGGGAGGCATATTTTTAAAAAGCATTTTTTACTATTTCAAACACTACCCCAAAAAATCACCTACCCCTGCTCAAAAGAACACCATATACAATGTAGACCGGATACTTCCTACATGCCTCGTGAATCCCCATCTTCAATATTATATAAATTCATAGTTTAAGCACTTGCATTTAGCATCATTTTATACAAATTTTATAACGTATTAATTTTTTATATTTTTATGGCATTTCTATTTGACTGCAATTGGGAAGAAAACAAAACAAATTATTCAGTGCAGAGGTCAATTAACTCATATGACAGCCTCTCTTTCTTAACGGTCTCACAGAATAGAAGGATGTGGTACGGTAATTAATCCTTGTGGTTGAGAAACAAGAGCTAGTGTATCCTATGGAACAGAGACCATAAGAGCTGGGGTAGATTTACATTAGAATTCTGAAACCAAATCTTTCTACTCTCAGAATGGCTCAATGCACTTATTTAATACTAGAGGCCTGGTGCACAAAATTCGTGTACTTGAGGGTGAAGGTGCACAAAATTCGTGTACTTGAGGGTGAAGGTGCACAAAATTCGTGTGCTTGCGAAAGGGCACAGGCCAGGCCAAGGGACCCCACAGGTGCACAATCAGGGCCAGGGAAGGATGCGGGAGGTTGACCAGCCAGGGAAGGACTGAGGGAGGGCTCCAGAGTGTGTGGCCCAACTTGCTCAGTCCTGATCCATCAGACAGACCCCAGCATCAAGCTAATCTGCTGGTAGAAGCGTTTACCTCCTGATGGTCAGTGCATATCATAGCAAACAGTTCAGCTGTCTTAGCATGTCATTAGCATATTATGCTTTGATTGGCTGACTGGCCCACTAGACGAATGGACACTTAGCATATTAGGCTTTTATTATATAGGATTCTACTTTCCAAACTTGCATGCATATAGGCATGACCCATAGACATAGATATTAGGATGATGAAGGCCTGGGGCAGGGAGCAGGGAGTGGGGAGGGGGACAGGATGGGGGCAGTCTAGAAGGGGCCAATTGGGGGGGAAAGGAGGACATATGTAATACTTTCAACAATAAAGATTTAACAAATGAATAAGATTACACTTTCCAACCCTGGATATTTGTGGATTACGAGCACAGTCTCTCTTTTACAGATAAGAAATACAAAGGAATAGCAATTTTAGCATGACAGAAGTAAAGCTGAGAGAATAATTAACCTCTGTTATTTTTGCTTCTGACCCTAGCCATTTGGGCTGCTGTTTCCAATATTTATGTATAAGAGTTCATAAGAGTTCTTTCAATTATGTATTTTTAAATAATTATTAGGTTCAATTCAACTTTTTTCGAGAAAATATTTATTATAATCTGACATAAATCACATTCCCATGATTCATAAAAAAAAAAACAAAAAAAACTTTTCTCATCCAAAGACTAAACTGTTATCCCTATTTACATACTTCATTTACCTCTTCCCTTTCAAAGCAAATTAGGAAGCCATAGAGAAGCAGAGCATGGCCACATTTGAAGAATTAGAGGTCACTCTTTTTATTGAAGTATAAACACAAACTAAGCAACACAAATAAAAAATAGTTTTATCAACACATTAGAATCGATTTCTCACTAACAAATACATTTAAGTGATAATTGTTTTGATATATTTTGAAGTAGGAATTTGAACTCTCAAACAAAACATTCAGAATGATCCTCTATCTACACTTTTTCTTGGAGAGCCGTGCAATCAAGGCCATTTAGGAGGCGTTCTTCTTACACTCTGGCTTCCTTCTCCTCCTTCCTTCTCCTACCTTCCCAACTCTGACTCCTGCGTAATTTCATTGTCTTCATCCCTGTCTTAGACTAGACTGCATGGGGATTCTCCTTCATGAAATCCACCATCAGCTCGTAGAAAAATTCTGAAGTCTTCGAGGCTATGAAATGCAGACATCGTTTTGAAATTGCAGTGCTTTATGGAACAGCATATACCTTTCATTTGAAAGTTATTTCAAACCAATTTTAATAGATCAATTTCAGTAGTATAAAGTATATATCCTGAAGTATATTGTGGACCTAATGCACTGTCTCTTTTCCTCCCCCCCAGCATTAACCCTACAGGGGGACATCATTTTTATCATTTTACAGTGAAATAACTGTAGCTTACAAGTGGAGTGATGATTTAATGACTAGGATACAGTCCTAGATCATGAGTAGGGCATGTGGCAGTGATTTTCAACCTTTTTCATCTCAGGTACACATAAACTAATTATTAAAATTCTTCAGCACACCAGAAAATAGGTTTTTGCTGATCTGACCAAAATAGGTTTAATTTTTATTCATTCACACCAGATGGTTATTGTGTTGACTGTTTTTGTTATTTTTAATTTGACAATTCAGGGGAAAATAGATCAGTGCCCTGACTAAATAGTCAGATATTGCTTGTTTTAAAAACTCTTGTGGCACACAAAAAGGAAAGGACAGACCCTTGTCCACTTCTCTAGCACCATCTTCTCCACTATCTTGCTATTGTCTATGCTAGGGGTGTCGAACTCAATCAGAGAAGGGGCCAAAATCTAAAATCCAGCCTAAATCGCGGGCCGAATGGTTTACTGAACAGTCATAAACTGTCATTGTGATGGAAACGCAGCGGAGTGCAGTGATGACAGCGCGGTGCGGGCCACATTGCAAGGCCTGGCGGGACGGATTTGGCCCGCGGGCCTTGTGTTTGACACATGTGGTCTATGCTCCAGCCATACTCAGCTCCCATACTTATAATCCCCTCAGTGCTCTGTCTTCCTTCCAGCCATTGCCTTATGTTCCTTTCCTGTGGGGTTCCCTTATCAGGAATATTCTTCTTACACTCTGGCTTCCTTCTCCTCCTCCTTCAGAATTTATCTTCATCTCCATCTCTCTTTCTCTCTCTAGGAAGCTCTAACAGTCCAACTACAACCACTTCCACTTCCAGACTATGTTAGACACTCTTCCTTTCTGTTCCCGCTGCTTCCCCCTTGAACATGGTACTGTATTTGGCATGTTTGTTTGTTGTTTGTTTGTTTGTTTGTTTATCTCGCTCATTAGGTTGTGGCCTCATTTGTGTTTATAACAATAAACACACAGATAAGAAGAGCAAAGAAGAGTAGAATGTAGAGCTACTAGGAAAGCAGGATCTTAGGTGTGCTATAAGATCTGCATAGATTTAACCCTGCAGTTTTGGATTTTTTGTCTACAGTCTTATACAGTGGTAACCAGTGCCTAGCATTGATCCCTGGGCATAATGAACATCCAAAGAGCCCTCTGAATTGTGAAAGAATGATAGAAGGTATAGCCCAGTAGGTAGAGTGTCAGCCTGTGGATGGAAGGAACCTTTTTGATCCCAGTCAAGGACACATACCTCAGTTGCAGGCTTCTTCTCCCTGCACATACTTTTAGTTGCAACCAATCGATGTGTTTCTCTCACATCCATCTCTCTCTCTCTCTGTCTTTACCATTCTCTTCCACTCTCTCTTAAAAAAAAATAAATCAATAGAATATAATTGAAAAAAATAATAGAAAAAAATAAGTCAATATAATTATTGTTAACAGTTTTTAGGGTTGTGTGTATTTATTTAAATTATGTTTTAATTCTAATGTAATTTTATGCTTTCTTTTTTTTAAAAAAGAAACTTTTTATTCTGGATCTTACTATCTCAATATCCTAAGTGTTAACACATCACATTTCTTCCTATGCATACCTACAGAGTTGTCATCATACTTTGTGTTTCACTTCCGCGATTAATAGTAGTAAGGGTGATAATGGCTGACACGTGTTGAGCCCTCACTATAACCTCACTGAAGTCTCATAGAAGGTCTATCACAGACAGTGGCAAACTATGGCCCAACGGCGAAGTTCAACCTGCCACCTGTTTTTGTATGGCCCTAGTTAAGTATGGTTATTACATGGTTTTCAAAAATCAAAGGGAGAGTAATATTTTTGTCACTTGAAAATTATTAGAAACCCAAATTTCAGTATTCACAAATAACTTTTCATTGGAACATACCCATGACACTCTATGTACGTATTGCCTCTGGCTGCTTTCCCACTGGAACTACAGAGGTGAGTAGTTGTAATGGAAATCACAAGTCCCACAAAGCAAAAAATGAAAATTAAAAAAAAAAAATGGCTCTATGGAATTTTACAGAAATTGTGCCAACCCCTGCTCTCTAAGACAGATGCTATTTATCATCTCCAGTTTACAAATGAAGAAGCAGATGCTGCGAGAAGCTGAGCCTCCGAAGCTACAGAATTAGGAAGTGGCAAAATGGGCTTTTGCTTGGGGTCAAGTATTCTTATTTCCTGCAAAGTGGCTATCTATGTGTGACTTGCATAAGTGAACTCTTCATTCACCGGACCCTTGTTTCCCATCCAGGGGTAAGAGCAGGTATTTACAATGACGTCCTTCTTGTTGGAAACTCAGCCTTTGGCAACAGCAAACAGTATTTGAACAGATGTGCTGCTCTCATGTCCTTAAAATGGAAATTGAAACCCGAGGTTAGGTTACTGTCCCAGGATCATGTGACATGATATCCAGGCTTATGATCCCTGAGTCCGCTGGTTCAACTAGTAGGCCAGGCCTCACATTGGTGATGAGAGCCTCTCCTTTGCCCCAAATCAAAATTACAGTGATGTCAGGCTGTGAGAGCTTTGAGTATGGATCCCACAGCTCTTCGCCGGAACCCCCTGGAGCATCTAACACACCGTCCCATCCTTCCGCTTATTCATTTATTCAGGTTCATTGAGCTTCTGCTCCGTGTGGATGATTGTGCCTCGTTAGGCATGTACAGGTGACTCACTGTAAGGTTCGACTCTGGAGAAGCTCGTTTTTTTTTTTTTTTCAAGTAAACTA